TCCAGTCCAGCTGGCCCCACCAACAGCCGATGCTGAGATCCCTTCCCTGGTCTTGAAGGGATCCCCAGCCCAACAGAGAGACACAGCCCTCCCCTCAGGATAGGGTAGGGTGGGAGAACATGTAACAAAAACCCATTGTAAATGGAAACAGGGCAGTACCTGGCTGCTGTCCAGGAAGATCTTCCTAGAGAGCTGCTTACAGGTGGCCCGGGCAGAGCATGCTGGAGGGGGCCGCTGTGGGACACATGAGGCCAGTATCAAGGCCCAAGTACATCTCTTCTGTATGGGGACCTTCCACCCCCCCCCCCCAGCCCCAAAGTGTCCTGGCCCTGGGCTCTACTTATGTTGCTAGAGCTGTGGCTTGACCAAAGTCTTGGCCAGTTCTTGACTGAAGAGCACAGAGCAAGGCTCTGCCCCTCCCCTGGAAGAAGACTGCTGGCAGGTGGCTGCACAGGCAGGCCCCTGCCCGTGGTTCCTCCAGTGTCCCATGGGCACTTACCAGGCCCTCCGCTCAGGCCTGCTCCAGCCTGTCCACTCTAAAGGAATGTGTCCCAGTGCCTGTCACTCCATCTGTGGGTGGTTCAGGACCAGAAGATGGAGGCCTAAAGAAGGTAGCTCACCCATGGATCATTATGTAAAACTAGCCAGAGCACAGGTGTGTCACACCAGGGAGGGTCCCTCATCCCACAGAATCTCCACTCCTTAAGGGCATCTGGGTGTCTTATTCACTGCTGTGTCCCAAAGCCATGGCAAGTGTGGGCACCAGTGAGACCTACCCAGAGACGCTTGACCTAATGCCTCCCATCCCACCCCAGAGGACTCTTTCTGCCCTCCCCGACCCCTCCAGGTGGGCTCTTTCCTCTCCCCCCGGGGCTGCTATCCCTTGAAATCCCGTATCTTTTGCTTTAGAGTTAAACTGTCCATCTGTGTTCCTCAGAACATGAGAGGTGATTACAGGCTGACACCACAGATGCTGCTCTGGTCTCCTGCCTCCCCTGCATGTAGAACCTGTTCCAGTTCCCTCCTGGGACAGACTTGAAGACTTCCCCTGAGGCCCTTTTCTGGGGACCCAGGTTTCTCTCCATAACAGGCCTTGGCCCCTTATTGTGGAGGGCTGATATGCTCCTGCTCTCTCCCCACCCCCATGTAGGACTGGCTCCACAAAACTGTGCAGTGAGTGGGCGGGAACCTTGTCTATCAGGTCACCAGGCTCAACTTCAGCTGTTCAGGGAGGTTATAGGGCTGTGGACACCAGTCCTGACCCAATCACCCCAGGCAGTGCACAGGGAAAGAGGCTGGGAAGGAGAGGGAACCGTGGTCACTGAGCCCACACTAGCAGCTGGCTCTTGAATCCATCTTCTCGTGATCCCGCAGCCACACTCGATCAGAGGCTGTTCGTTGTCACTTCCATGCAGGTGAGGAAGTTGGGGGTGGGCTGAGTCCCTGCAGGCACTATCTTGGCTGTGGCTGAAGTCCAACCCTCTGCAGTTGGCTTCTGGGTGACTTGGCTGCCACAACAGGAGAGTAGGACGGAGGTGTTCCAGGAGCCGTGAGTGCTGTCACTGTAGGTGCTGCTGAGCAAAAATCGCCCAACCTCCGTTTTATAAAACTATACTCCATCTGGAGGCAGAGCTGGACCACAACCCACTTTCCTGAAATCTGTCTTAGCCAAGGGGCCTCGCTTTCTTGTCTCCAGCAAGGCCTGTGCCTTCTCAGGCTCCCCACCCGCCCCTGAAAGCCAAGATCCTTGGAGATCCGACCTTAGCATCCCCACTCCCCAATGCAGCCTCTCCCTCTCTGTGCTTCAGTTAGTTGCACTCGGTAAACCGCTGACACCAAAGCCCTTTCCTGCAGGTCCCGCAGCCTCCAGGACATCAAGGCGACGGAGGGCAGGATCCCCCCAGCCCCAGTTCCGTGGCTGCTGGGTGTGAGAGTGACCTCCCAGGGAGTGACCGCACCTGAGGAAGTTCTTTGCGAATGGGGTGGGGCGGGGGGCGGCGAGAGCGCGAGTTCCGCTCAGAGGCCCCGCGCACGACACAGGATTCCTTCCCGCCAGGCACTGAGCTGCGCCCTGTGCCTCCCTCGGTCCTCCCAGTGGCCCGGGATACTAGTTTCCTTGCTGGCCGAGGAGAAACCGGTTCAAACAAGCGGCGTGCCCAAGTCACACCGAGTGGCGCGGCCGTGCTCAGCCCGGGTCGGTCCAAGCGAAACTGGGGCTCTTGACCATGACCTGCGGGGAGCCAGGGAGACTGACATGTCCAGAGGGGTCCCAGAAGAAAGCTATTGGGTCCGGTGGCCCCGCGGACCACAGGGACCCGGTTGGCGTTGGCTGCCGCAACCCCGGCTTCGCCGTACGGCAGCCGGAAGCGCCGCGACTCGGGTCCCGCCCCTTCCTCCCGCGCCGGGCATTCTAGGAGCTGTAGTCTGGGTCCCGTCCTCGGCGCCTGCCCCTCGCCCCACGACTTGCAGCGCCTCCTGGGACCCAGGGCTCAGCCACCTACTTGAGCGCCCGCGGTCCGGTAGGCCCGGGAAGTCGGTGGGCCCCTGGAGAGCCTCCAATACTGGCCACCGCCCCGAACTC